ACTTCCTTCTTGAGCCCAGAGCCGCTGCCGCCGCCCCCAGCTCCCCCGCCGTGGGGAGGGCTCCAGGTGAGATCGGGCCCGGGCCGGCGGGCAGGGGACCCGGGGGAGGAGAGCCCAGCCAGTCCCGGACCCGTCGAGAAGTTTGCTTTCGGGGGGCCGCGGGCGGGAGCTTCTCAAGACTCACTTCGAGTTGGGCGGGCGCGGCCAGGCGGGGCGGGGACCGGGCCACCTCGAGCCCGCGGCGCCGCGGTGAGGATGGATTCCCAGCAATTCTACCGGCTCCTGGGTGCCGGGACGGCCGTGTCTCCACCCCAGGAGAAGAGTCTCCGAAGTGGAAGGACTCTGAGCTAGGATGTGGGACTCAGAGGTGGGGGGTACCCGCAGTAGTTGTCGCGGGGGAGGGCGGCGGTGTTCGAAGTGTATAAAAAGAGAGGGTCTCTGGGCTGGAGAAGAGGTCCCCCCACTTGGGCAGTTGTGACATCTGTGAGATTGAGGGGCAGGGGGCGTTGTCTGGGCCTGTGAAGCCCAGAGAGTGCAGAGCAAACGCCCTCCCCGAAGCAACGAGGTCACCCCCATACCCTCGCATGCAAGTTCGGGGCTGGGAGGGTCGGGAGGGAACCCGGGTCCTCTGTGAATGTTTTTTAGAGGCCCAAATCTCTCCATCCCTGGAGCCAAGCAGCAGGTATTTCATGAGCAAGCATCTGCTGTGCCCAGCTGATCTGTGCCTGGCCTTGCACAGTGGGGATAAACTGAGAAAGGAAAAGGCCTAGTCTTGTACTATAACTGGAGGTGGAAGGGCTCATTCAGAGATACTGAGAATTGGGCAAGAGAACAACTGAGTTCAGGGCTGTTTTCAGGAAATGGAGAAAACAGGACTTCTGAGAGGCCTCACGGCCCTGGCCTTCTGGAAACAATTGAGAGCCATCTCCTAGTCTTAGGCCCAATTCTTAGGCCCCACGTTCTACACACATCATTTTGTTTCCTTCTGTCCCTTCATTAGCCTCTACCCATAAACCTTCTCATCCCCTTCAGTCTCTCTTACCCCTAGACATAGCCCTGACCTCTGCTCACCTGCTCAGCCCCCTTTAACTTTCCCCTTCTCTGCCCAGCTTCTTGTTCCTTCCAGCTCCCCTCGTTCTCGTGATCCCTCAACCCGTCACCCTGTCTCTGTCACCTTCCCTCAAGCTCTAGAGCCGGGATGGGATGTAGGAGACTTGGTGAGTTTGAGAGCCTTTCCAAACTTCCCAGGACCCTAGAGAATTGCTGCAACCTTCCAGTGGTGGAGATGATTAAATGGCAGAAAAACCTGTGTGACGTGTGTGTGAGTGTGTGAGCGCGTCTGTGTGTCTGTGTCTGTGTCTGTGTCTTGGAAGCAACCACAACACTGCTCTCAGACTTGAGAGGGCCCGGAGCAGAGAAAGGCAGCAGAATGAAGGGAACCCGCTAGGGATGAGGAAGCAGTCCTGGTAGTCCAGGTCGTGTGGCACAGGAATAAGACTGGTGAGGGAGGGAGGCTGTGGGAAAGCAAAATCACCCAGATTCTTGAATTCCTTACCAATAAGCCAGTCCCAGAGGCCGGGAGCCAGTCTGTCTCCTCAGGAGATGACCTTCCTGCCTCCAGTGCCTCCTGGTTCTACCTGATGGAGGAGAACTGGGACTAGCTTAGCTGGATGTGATGGAAGGAAAGATAGCAGAGGCAGGATTCCAAAGGCTGCAGCTGGTCTGATCTCAGTCTTCGCTGTTTTAGTTTCAATTCAGAAAAAAAGAGGGGCATGAGGCAAAGGTGTCTGCCCTTCTGCTTTCTGTGGCTTGCCCAAGCTGGGTACTCATGTGCTTCAGTCTGCTATAGGCCCCTGGTGACCAGGAAGTCCTCTAGATTCTGCAGACCCACCCACTGCCCTCAGGCATTCTCCATCTTCCACCCTGGACCCTACTCCGTCTTTTGGATGCATTTCTTCCAAGCTTAATATTAAACGAGCCTGGCTCTGTTAAGATCTCTTTGTCCCATTTGTCTCTGGGTCCCTTCTTCAAGCATTTAGGATATCTGCTAAGAGATCTTGCTTCTCTGTAGCTTCTCCACTGTTCTAGTCCTGCTTTACTCCTGCCCACTAGGGAAAAAAAAGGAAAGGTGGTAGGGAACAACTACTATTTTGGGGTTCCCAGGCACCCTGAATTAAAAGGCTCTTCCCTATTCTCTCCCCACCCCCCATCCCTTCTCACAGTTTTCTCTGACCCATGAATTATACCTCCTTCTAGCCCCACCCTTCTAGCCACCTGACTCTCTCTGCACTTCTGGGAGTGGAGGGTGTTTGATCCCAGGAGGAGATCCCAGGGAGAGGGAAGGCCTTCAATAAGACCCCAGCCCAGAGAAGGATGTGCGTGGAAGGTACTTTCCCAGCATTAGGGGTCAGTTAAAAAAAAGAGAGAGAAAAGAAACACCCAAGAGTTTAGATACCCAAGAGTTCAGCATTTTACATAACTGAGCATCTCACACTCAGACTGAAGACAGGATGGGTTCTTCCAGTCAAGATTTGGTTGTATTAAGTGAGCTAATTGCAAGAAAACTGTTGTCAGGAAAAATATGGCAGGAGTGGGAAGAGTCTGACTGGGAAACTATCATGGGGTCTGGTGGGGATTGACTTCAACCCAGCTGTTGAGATCTTGGCCAGAGAAATTCTCTCAAAGTCTTGGCATATAAAGTTATTAGAGATCCTGATTGGGAATATGGGGCATGGAGGGTTTGCCTCTGGCAAAATGCTAGAGCAGAGGTGTGGGCGTTGGGGGACTCAAGCTGGAAGAGACAAGAGCTTCTGGTGGTAGCTGGGAAAGTGGGAAAAGGGGTCCTGGCCCAGCCAGAAGGCCAGTCTTGAGGCTTGTAGAGTTCTGTGAGAAGGGCCATGGAGGGAAACCAAAGACAGCCTCCCTAGGCCGGACTGGTTTTCCTGTCCATGTTCAGCTTCCTCTTTTGCCCTAGTCTTTACGGGAGGAGGAGCAGCAGCTCCGTTGGGCCAGGGCCAGGGCCAGGGTGGCTATCTGTTGTGTAATGTCAGTTCTGGCCTCAGAATGGGTTACGTTTGAGGACCTGGGAACTTAGAAGTAAAACTGGCTCAGACATGAACCTGCCCCTTACAGCCTAGATGAAGTCAAAGATGGTGGGTCCATTCCCACCAGGTGGGACCAACAATCCCCACTTTATGAAAGTGAGTGAGGGTTAGCAGACTCGGTCGAGCCCTTGTCCTGGATTTGCTACCACTTCTCAGTATAGCCCTGGTCAGTTTAGTCTCTCTGGGCTCAATTTCGACATCCAGGAGTTCTGTACTGATACCTCCAAGTGGCATAATGAAGATTGATGCTGTCTGACACGTCTTCCCCAGGTGGCTTCTAGTCTGGGCCCTCCTGCGTCAGTCCTGAGTAACTGCTGTCCTTTGGGCCAAGAGCAGGAACTGTGGTCTATCTTCCCAAAGCACGAGGGGCCATTCTAGGTTGAAGGCTACAAGAAGAGAGCAGAGAGTGCTGGGGATTTTGCCAGGGGCCTGCAAGGTAGGGGAGTACCCGTCCCCGTCCCCTTCTCCGGCTCTGCCCCACTAACAGTGGAAAACAGATGGGGTTTCCTCTCTGGCGTTTTTCTTCCCTTGTGGAAACCCCCTCAGGCCTGGGGCGGGGCTGGAGGGACAGGGAGGCCCTGGGTCTCTCTGGGTATTGTCAGGTGAGGAGGCAAGGTTGCTGAGGGTAGCATTTGCCTCCAGCCTCATGAGAAATGAGCAAAGACAAAAGGAAGTGCCATTTCACAGGCCCCAGAACTGCCAATCGACTGCTGGGTGGCAAGGAGGAAGCCAGTGGGGCAGCCTTCCTCTCTGCCAACTTGGGGCAGGAGGGAGTAAGCCCTGGCCCTGGGGTTCACCCTGTGTGGAGCAGACAGGGTGCTGGGATGAGAAGGAAGGGGACTGGTGAAAGGAAGGGCCCAGTCCCATCTCCCTCACCCCCCACCCCACTATCTTCCCAGCTGCTGCTGTCTTGTTCCTCTCCTGCTTCTAGTGGGTGGAGTCAATTCCCTCCCTCCCTTCAGCTACCATGCTGGATCCTCCGAGGAATGAGGACTGAGAGATGGGAGTTCTCCAGCATGGGTTTTTTTGATGGCTGGGAACAAGGCTCTCTTGGGTTCTGCCCCTGCCGGTGGGGAGAAAGGGAAGACAGAGCGACACTCAGCTCTTGGCCAGGGCCCAGCCCCACACTGACCTCGTGTCTCCCCCAGCTTCCTCCTTACGGTAGGCCCAGCTGCAGCCAGCTGCACCCCTCTGAGCCTCATCATATCACCTCTTTCCCAGTGCCTCCCCTCAAAACAAACAAGTAAACAAACAGGGGCAGCTTTAGATACTGTTCCCAGTAGTGACCTTGCCCCTCTGACCCAAACCCTCAGCCCAAACCAAACCTACTGCCATTGAGTTGGTTCCTACTCATAGCTACCCTAGATAGCACTGGTGGTTCTCAACCTGTGGGTCCAGACCTCTTTGGGGATCGAACGACCTTTTTACAGGGGTCGCCCCATTCAGAACAGTAGCAAAATGACAGTTAGGAAGTAGCAATGAAAATAATTGTATGGTTGGGGTCACCACAACATGAGGACCTGTATGAAAGGGTCCTGGCATTAGGAAGGCAGGAGCAGACAACTTCGTCTTTCTCCCAGGGAGTGGCTGGTAGGTTTGAATTGCTGACCTTATGGTTAGCGGCCACTGCTGACCAAGGACCTTTAAATACTGGGATCCACCAGGCCTTTTGAAAGTTCACTTTATGTCACTTGGCTTTTACAACAGACCTACCTTAGTGCCTAAGGAGGAAACCTGTATTGCCCAATCGCTCGCCTGTCCAGAATACTTTCCCGGCCCACCTTCCTCATCACACTGTAGGCCCTTGCCCTGTAATAGGTAAAGAATCCCTGGCCCTCCCCTCTCACTTCCAGTTAAGAACAGGGTGCTACAGAGGGTAGGTTTGTTACATTATTACGTACCTTAACCTGGTGCTTCTGGGGGGTGGGGGGAGGTGTCACCCTTGACTTGGCTCTCTTGGGC